AGGGTCACGTTCAATCTGGGGCTTCTGGCAGGGGAACTGGAAGAGCCCTCTGACTTCTTGTTTGATCTCTCTGCTCCTGCCAGGGTGGCTCTACCCCTTCATGAAGGGGTTTCCAAAATCACTAATACCCTGTGGCAGACCCCCTCTTCCCTGGCCCCGTCTCTAAAAGGGCCAAACACAAGTACTTTGTGCCAACCAAGGGGCACTTATATTCCCACCCTGCCCCCAATTCCCTCGTGGTAGAAGCTGTTAACCACAAGGAGAGGCAGGGACAACCCGGGACCACCCCCAAAAATAAAGATTCGAGGAGGCTGGATCTCTTTGAGCGTAAGATTTATTCATCTTCCACCCTTCGGCTGAGGGTGGCAAACCACCAAGCCCTCCTTGGCTGATATGACATTAATATTTGGCAAGCCATGGTCAAGTTCAAAGGGTCACTCCCTGAGGCTTCCAAGAAGGAGTTCCGAGCAATCCTCAATGAGGGCACGACTGTGGCCAGGGCGGCCCTCCAGGCAGCATGACTTCCACTGTCTCCATGCGATGAGCCTCCTGGCTGCTCCTCTCTGGGTTGTTCTCTGAGACTCAGCAGTCAATGGAGGATCTGCCCTTTGACAGCCGGGCCCTATTTGAGGAGCAAATGGACAGCAAGTTTCCTGGCCTCAAGGACTCCCACACCACTCTAAAGCCCTGGGTCTCTACGTCCCAGCCCCAGCGTGTATGAGGTTCAAATTGCAATAGCCTCAAGGCCAGGGGAGCCAGCCTCGGCAGGACCAGCCCCACAAATGTGCCAAGTGCTACAAGTGCAATCCGGGCCACCCACCTCCATCCTCTGCCCCGTCGGGCTCGACCTGTGCCAACCAAGGGGCTAAACAGTCATTTAGAGGGTGCGTCCAAGAGCGACCTACCAGACTATTCCTCGGATCCATCTGTCCCAGTGTTTGCCAACCACCTTTCCCCTTTCCTCCCTGCTTGGACCGCTATAACCTTGGACCAGTGGGTCCTCAGCATGGTGGAGCAGGGTTGTACCCTACTGTTTGTTTCTACCCCCCTTCCCACTCACCTTTCCCATCCCTCTTCAGGGACCCCTCTCATGAGAGTCTCCTCATGCAGGAGGTAAAGGGGTTGCTACAGGTGGGTGCGGTGGAGGAAGTTCCTCTGAGTACAGGCACAAGGGGTCTTATTCCCAGTACTTTTTAATCCCAAAGGTCAAGGGCGGTCTATGGCCCATCCTGGACCTGCGAGACCTCAACAAGTACCTAAAGTTAAAGTTCTGCATGTTTCCCTGGCTTCTATTATCCCCTCCCTGGATCCGGGAGGCGGGTATTCCACCCTTGACTTGGAGGACACATACTTCCACATAGCGATCTTTCAAGGGCACAGACTCTTCCTCCAGTTTACAACAGGGCCCCACCACTACCAGTTTGCAGTCCTCCCGTTAGGCCTGGCAACAGCACCGAGAGTGTTTACCAAGTACATGTCAGTGGTAGCAGCTTACCTCGTGCACCGACGTATCCAGATCTACCTGTACCTCAACGACTGGCTCATCAAGGGCAGCTCCAAGTCTCAAGTCCGAAGGGATGTTGTGGTGCTTCAAGCCAAGTGCCGCTCTCTGGGCCTCCTGGTGAACAACAAAAAGTCGACGTGCGTGCCGGTGCAGAGGATAGAATTCATCGGTGCGGTCCTCGACTCTACCTGCGCCAGAGCGTTCCCGCCACTAGAAAGGTTCCACGCGTTGACGAACCTCATCACAGAAGTCTCCGCATTCCCTTTGACCTCAGCCAGGGTCTGTCTGCGCCTGCTGGGTCACATGGCAGCGTGCACTTAGCTGGTCCATCATGCCAGGCTCCAGATGCGGCCCCTGCAACAATGGCTGGGAACGGTCTATTCCCAGTCCTGGGACCCCCTGGAAAAGATCATTATGATTCCCCAGGTTCGCTGCAACGGTGGACCGACCGCAGGACAGTCCTGGAGGGGGTTGTGTTCGACAACGCCCCTCACTCCATCGAGTTGGTGTTGTACACTTCTGACCTCGGCTGTGGGGCACATCTCGGCAACCTACAGACACAGGGGATGTGATCCCTGGAGGAGGCGCGGTTACAAATAAACGTCAAAGAGCTCCGAGCAGTCTGGCTGGCATGCGGAGTCTTCCTGCCCCACCTATCAGGCATGAGTCCTGACTGACAACACAGCCTCGATGTTCTACATCAGCAGGCAAGGGGGAGCGCGCTCGTCGGTCTCTGTCAGGAGGTGCTCTGTCTATGGGACTTCTGTATCAGCCACGAAATCCACCTGGTGTCAGGAATATGCTGACAGACCAGCTCATCAGGGACTTCTCCTCTCACCATGAGTGGTTGCTCTATCCAAAGGTAGTCTGCATGATCTTCCAAAGGTGGGGAACTCCCTGTGGACCTGTTCACTACTAGACAACAGGAAATGCCACCGGTTCTGCTCTCGGCAAGGTCTGTGCAAGGGCTCCCTCTCCAATGCCTTCCTCCTGTCATGGTCAGGAAACCTGATGTATGCATTGCCGCCGATTCCACTCATTGGCAGCGTCCTGGCAAAGATCAAGCAAGACAAAGCGCAGGGTGTCACGGTTGACCCGGCATGGCCTCGCCAACACTGGTTTGGCATGCTCATGATCTTGTCAGCAGCCCACCCTGGCCCCTGCCCAACTGCCAGAACCTGCTGTCACAGGACCACGGTTGGCTCCCACACCTCAACCTCCACCTCTCGGCCTGGATGTTGTATGGCTGAACCCGGAGGAACGGACCTGTTTGGAAGGAGTCCAGCAGGTCTTCCTAGAGAATAGGAAGCCCTCAACCAGACTGACTTATGTGGCCAAGTGGATAAGGCTTTCCTGCTGGGCATCCGAGTGTGGCATCTCTCCCTCGCATTCTTCCATACAGGCTGTCCTGGACTACCTGCTCCATTTGAGGAACAGGGCCTGGCACACTCTTCTATTAGAGTGCATCTCGTGGCCATCTCCATTTTTCACATGTCAATCCAAGGACAGATGGTGTTTTCCCATGACATGATGGTCAGATTCTTGAAAGGGCTCAAGAGACTCTTCCTGCAGGTGTGGGCTCCTGTCCCACAGTGGGATCTTAACTTGGTCCTCTCTAGGCTCACTGTCCCGCCCTTTGAGCCGCTGGGTTCCTGCTGTTTTTCCCACCTGTCATGGAAGGTTGTGTTCCTGGTGGTGGTGGTGATGTCGGCGAGACGGGTCTCTGAAATTAAAGTCTTGACCTCAGAACTGCTGTACACCATCTTCTACAAAGACAAGATTCAGCTGCAGCCCCACCCAGCCTTCCTACCAAAGATGGTATCCACCTTCCATATGAACCAGGACATCTTCCTCCTGGTGTTCTGTCCCAAACCACACAAGACCAGTGAAGAGAGGCGTCTTCACATGCTGAACATCCAAAGGGCCCTGGATTTTTATTTAGAACGTACCAAGCCTTTCCATAAATCATCTCAGCTCTTCATCGCTACAGCAGATAGGATGAAGGGCCTTCCGGTGTCCTCGCAGAGGATTTCTATTTGGATCACCTCATGCATAAGGACCTGTTGAGACCTGGCAGGGGTTCCGCCACCACCGATTGTCAGAGTTCACTCGACGAGAACATAGGCGTCTTTGGCTTCTTTCCTGGCGCACACCCCTATCCAGGACATCTGTAGAGCCGCAACGTGGTCCTCTGTCCACACGTTCACGGCGCATTATGCCATCACTCAGCAGGCCAGAGATGACATTGGGTTCGGCAGAGTAGTGTTCTAATTGACACGTCCATGAACTCCTACCCACCTCCAGGGGTACTGCTTTGGAGTCACATAATATGAAATGGACATGAGCAAGCACTCGAAGAAAAGACAGTTACCTTTTCTGTAACTGGGGTTCTTTGAGATGTGTTGCTCATGTCCATTCCATGCAGGTGCCACTCCAGAGGGTGCCAGAGCTGGTCCCCTATGAATATGCTAAGGGAAAAACTTCCAGCACAGGTGCGTGTGATGAGCACACACACCTAATATGGAATGGACGTAAGCAACAGATCTCGAAGTACACCACTTACAGAAAAGGTAACTGGCTTTTCCTATTGCCCCAACATGCATCCCAGGCCATATTGCACAGCTAGACTCCCCAAATTTTACAGCACTGCCTTTCCCACAGCACTGCAGCGGAACTGCACTAGTTCCATTGCAGATAGCATCTTCTGTACCCATGCAGGAAGGGCTAAGATTTGCCCCATAATGACCTTGCCACACTAGGAAAAGTCAGACCCCTAATTCACTACCATCATTGCGAGCAATGGTGGATGCTGTTGTGTAGACAAAGGACAAATATTTAACGCAGTGGTGTTCGACCCTATTCAAAATAGGGTCAAGCTATATGGTCATAAAAGTTCCTGTGTCCTGTCAGTGCTACGGCTTGCACCGGTGGAGAATTATGGATCTGAATTTTGCCAGTGTAGACTCAGCCAGAGGAAAAAACTATGTGAAATCAGTATGATGATGTACCCCGATACATGACCATCATGTAGCCATAATGTAAGGGATGAGGATGAGATAATACAAGCACCCACTAGTGAATGTAACAGACACGTTTAACAACAGAAATATAGGAAGAGGAAACAAGGGGAGAAAAGGGAAGATTTTTAAAAATAAAATCAGCCTGCATTAACATCCAGTTGTATTGGAGATGATTGCAAAATAGGGAGGAAATAGCAGAAAGTGGAAGAGGAAGTTCTGTTATGTCCCAACAACTTTGTTTCATTCTCTTATAAAACAATGTGTCTGTCTAGATAATGATTCTACAGCTATCAGGCTTCCAAAAGCAACTTAGGTCCTGCTTAGATTTAAGACTCCTTCCCAAATTCCCCCTAGAGAGTGTATTTTAAAAAATCAAAGAGCTTACACCCAGCCTTAATCACTTTATAAGGGTCATGTTTGTACAGCAAAATTGTGACCTGGCTCCTGACCAAATAAACTTGCTTCCCTAATGTCAGGTTCAGGTTTTGGAGCTGCCATCCAAGACGTCAGTCTGTACCTTGAAGCCAGAGGCGGATGCCAAACCAGGCATGGCCATGTGTCTGAAGCTATGGCAGGTAAGGTAACCAGGCCTGCCAATTCTGAAATGTTTTCCCTGTGCTTCATTTTATATGGAGCACATAAATCATTCTTCACTCAGGTTTTGATTTATTGTCAAACAATCAAGTAATAAAGGGAGCGGGGAGGGGGAGGCAGATACTTGTGAACATCCCTAGTGAAACTTTCTGAGTTAGCCAAGCCTTAATGGAAGGTATGTGACTTGCAAATGCTTACTGGAGGCTTTGCAACCTTAGAATAGAAGCAAGATTTTTGCCTCAATCAAGAAGAAAATGAGCGTAGTAGATGCCAGGCTTTTGATATGGTCTCTCATTATAAAAAAGGGTGATGAGAAGTGATTTGGGTGTTTAAAAAATAGATAGGTTGCACGTATCCAGTAAGAAAATAGGTTATTGAACATTTTTTATTCTAGACATGGCATATGGACAAAGTGTTTATGCCTTGTATTTACGTTGGATGAAAAATAGAAATAAAACAATTATTTTTAAAAGTCTTTGTAATTATAAGGTAGGTATCGTACCCCAGCTGAGGAAAAGAAAGTTTAAGTGATTTGCCCCAAGTCTCACAATGTAGTGGCGGCTGCAGTGGGAATAGAAATCCTGATTCACAGTTCCCTACTCTAACCACTTAGACCACATTCCCTCCCAGTGTTTGTTAGTGCTACATCGCTGGAAATTATTTACAAATTATCAAATGCTTGCAACCAGATCCTACCATTGCTCCACACTCAAAATTCCCATTGACTTGCATGGAAGAAGACGCCTTATGAAGCAGATGTGGGAATGGGGCTTTAGTGAGCTAGGGCCCCATCCTTCTTCCCTTGAAATCAAAAAGGAGTTTTGCTACGGACTTCAGCCAAATGAATATGGGCCCGTAGATCTAACCCTAAGGATTCATGTACAATCAGAAATAAATTAAAATGGTACTACTGCATTTTTATTAAGCCAAGTAAGATTTAAAAGGTCTAATAAATGCTCAGCTCAGCGTTTGAGAGAGTGTAGGTTTAATTCATTAATGTTTGTAGAACTATTGGAAGTCCTGGAATGGAAGGTACTCTAATTCTTATCATTATTATTTTTTATAGTGAAAATACTTCTCCTTCAGTTTCGCGCTTTCATTAGAAGCATCCTGATGGGTTATCTCATTGTGAACCTCTACAGTAAAACCATAGACTAAATGAACACCATTCCATGTGTCCTATCCTCCTGCATGCTAGTTCAAAAATGTTCTGTGAATCAGTGAAATAATACTCCTACTGGGAACAGCTTTACTTAGACACTGAGCTGTAGAGTGGGAGGAAATTGAGGCTTAGGTTAGACTTGTGGTTTAAGAGACATTGGCTTCTCCCTAAGCAATTAAAGAGCAGGCATCAGCATATTTTGCCATGTCGAGGGCAGAATAAAAATTAAGATATCATTTTACTAAATCTCTATTTATAAATATTGATCCATGATTGAGACCAGTATTTTTTCCCTCACAAAGGAGCATATTCATAAATGCAAATGATACACAGTGATTGTCTGTTGCGCTTCCCACCTTCCAGACATTACTAATTGGGTGTGGTAGGATTTGCAAGAGTGAGGATGTCCTCCCTTAAATTTGTTTTTTGCACTCCTTGGGAAAGGCACCATCTTGCATAATGGGACAAACAAAAAAAATTGAACAAGAATAATACATGTAGAAACTGGAAATGCAGAGTTATTGCTTTATATAAACTATAGCAATTATTCCTGCCGAGTTGACAGCGGATCACCTTTTCTTCCTTCCTTGACAATTATCCAAATGCAAAAACAACAAAATGTTCTGCTTAAGAGGAGAAATATAACTTACTTATTTAAAAAAAAGTTTCCCCTAAAACCAGAAGATGAAAGCTGAAGATTTTTTCTTTAATGAGGCCCATTACTGAAGCAAATAGGTTATTGTGATTTATTGCTTTGTAAGTAAGGGATCAAACCTAGAAATCCAGCTGATTTCAATAACTATATAATAACTTTGCACATATACAAGCATGTGTACTTGTTCAAATATGAAACTTCATGTAATTTGTATTACCCTGTACAAACATTCTCCTCTTCATGCAAAACTTTATTTATTTTTAAATGAGACCAGTTTTGGCTATAGTCAGTTCATAGTGGTTATTTTCACTCAGAAAACCAAAAAGTTGGAGCCAAATTTTCCTCAAATGCTCAGCACCCAGCAGTTCCTAGTATTCTCAGTGGGAACTGCAGGGTGATGAGCACCTGTAAATATTTGCCCATTAAATTATGAAAAAGACAAAAGGACCTGACAAGCTGGCCCATAGATATCTTGCTTTATTGACTAGCGAAAGTTATCTACATCTTGGAGATAATTGCTCTTGAAGAGTCATGTGCTGGTGGTCATTCATTGTATGAGCTGCTCATAGAGGACAGTTCCAACCAGAGAACGAGCCAAGCCTGGCCTTTGCAGAAGAAAGAGGACTCTGTCATTTAAAGGATGTGGCATCCACAGGATCCCAGCCTTCATTTGGAACCAAGGTCAGCTAAGGAGATCACACACACATGTCTGGGCACTGCCCCTTCATAAGATAGGTGCAGGGGATTTTGCTTTGTTTTCTTGTTTTTGCAGGCCACTTTCAGTCCAGTTCTGTGGTTTTGCCAGCCCTGATATTTACTTCAGGATTCCTTCCCACACTGAGCGCTTCCTTAAATTGAAAGAACATATATCTTGGGGCTATGAAGAAAGGATCAGGGCTCTAACTGCTAGCATTCATGAAAGGCCACTTTCTTTCCCTTCGCTTATCAAGGAGAGCTCTTATTAGCAGGACCACCCATTATTTGTTAGTTTAGCTACTCCTAAAATGAATGGTTTAATAACTAGTGTGAGAGTAGTCTGGAAAATTAAGAGAGACGGTGAAGATTTGGCCAGTACAGATTTGTGTCCTGCTAGTGAGTCTCTGGTGATTCGAGAGAGAGCCCATATAGTGACACAGAACAGTAGGTGATAATTCATTCTCTGGAAACTTCTTAGAATTTTATTTTAAAATCAAACACCAAACACAGTAGGCACATAGGATCAACAGAGAGGTGTTTGAAAATAATAAAATAAGCTAGCATAGGCATTACTGGGACAAGACATCCCTATACATGCTGGTGTTAAACTTGGGCCTATTCTGGTAGCTTTTCTCCTATTAAAGACATAGTTGGCATTTACACATGCTTGTTTTTCAGTTGCTTTTCATTAGGGATTTGCATCCTAGCTCACATGACCAGTTACTGATTACAGGGTCATTAGCCTTTTGGCTAGTGCAATGATGAATATTTTCCTTAAGTGTGACATGTAATCCAGTAACGTTCCCTTCTTTGAGTTATTTCAGAGGCTTAAATAAATTAGGTGTCTGCCCAGGGTGCCATGCCCTTTGGCTTGTGACATCATTAATCAAAATATCTCTCAATTGGTTACAGTGGGATTCAGACCTCTGTTAACTCTTTGGTAACTAACAAAGAGGTTTTCAAATAGAGGTTTAGCTGTTGGGTCTTAAACAGTGCAATGGATTTGGAGAAATTATCTGTATGCAGGACTCATGGGTGTTTTCACCTTGGCAAAATGGAAGTGGAATCTAATTAGTGGGGTAAACGGACAAAAGTAATCCAAGAGATTATGTGAGATTGGAAAGTGGTATAAAAACCCACTTCTGTGAGAAAATGGAGCATGCATCTTGGTAAAATATTGAAAATGTAAGTTTGGCATTGTATCTTAAATTCGTAAATAACTTTCTGCGAAAAAATGAATTTGGTTCTCATAGCCTGGTTATAACTTGGTTACTATGTGTAAATATTTACTGAAGAGCCCCACTCAAGCTTATGCCATGAACTATCTCACTATGAGATTCTGACATTTTGAGGGTCATGATGTTTGAATCAAGTGGTAAAGAGGAAAATTATTTAGATTTTCAGGGAGGGAAGTAATTATGTGCTACAATGATGGACACTTCAGACATGATTTAACAGTAATTGTTCTGAATTAACATGTACGGAGCACCAGAGGTTACCTTTAGTGGCAGCCTTCTGGAGCTCTCTGCTCTAATGCTGTTCACTTCAACATGAGGTTTTTTTCATTACTTTTCTGGGTGCTTGGGCTAAAGCCTGTCTGGGGGATATAAAACTTTTTGTTGTTTCTGAACAGCCTGACTTTGGTTCATGTCCTTTTCTTCTGGCTGGCTACGAGGATGGATCAGTGATTCTGTGGAATTTATCAGGGGGGAAAATATTTAGCCGACTTGCTTGCCACCAGGAGCCAGTGATGAGCCTTGACTTTGACTCTGAAAAGACGAAGGGGGTCTCGGGCTCATCTGAGGAGGTGCTTACCGTCTGGAGCCTCGATGAACAGCAGAACTTAAAGGTCAGAATCATCAGCCCCTCTGTGTCATTTGTCCCGCTTTGCACTAACAGTTTGATAGACTAAAAAAATATTTAGTCATGAAGAGGAGTTGTTGCAGATCTCTAACTAATTAATCACAGACTGGTTAGAATGCAGGAGAAGGCTGTCCATGCTGTTAGGCTATCGTTGAAGAAAGGTAGGGATTTTTTTTTTTAAACCTTTCATGTTTCTGGTTTTACCAAAGCTGTGTTTAAGCAACCGACACATAGGTCTCCCATTCTGCAAGTCGCTATTTTTATACATTTCTTTATCATTACATTATTGTCCAATACTCAGAGCACTTAATAAATGAAATTATTGTAAATCGAAAATTGTTTTCATAAGGATTTTGCTTGGGTGCCTAGAGTTTTCCCTTTACCTTAGGAAAGAGAAACATTTTAAGACAGTTATAAATAAAAGATTAAGGCTAGAATAAGTGATTTACTTGCCCAGCTAATATTGAAAATCAATGGGATTTAAGCACTTTTGAAAATTCCATCCTAAATGTGAAAAAAAGTTACTAATGTCAGTTTAGATACTGGAACACTCCGCTTGCGTAGGATGGCTCCTTCACTAAGATATGGCCTAAGAAACCAGTTGAGCCTAATGATGGTGAATGGCATTGACCATGGCTTAATCTGGACATCATGAGTAAAAGTTGTTTCAGTGCCAAGGGATTGAGTGGTGGAAATTCTAGGATCTGGTATTCTAGTACAGAAGTAGCCAGATGATTGTGGATAAAATTTATGAAAGTGTAAATGGGCCCACAAGGCGTTCTGAGTATCTCTTCACAACATATGAGTGGAAGGGTCATAGAGAGGGGCCTTTGCAACTCCTGTGTGAAGCAGAGGGGTGCTCTGCACTAATTCCAAATAGACCTGTCTGCAGGGATCCTTTGGTGTAGGGGCCACTGGATCTACATTTGTACTGCCTCCAGGAGGAGGAGCAGCTGCTGTACAAGCTCCTACGTTTCCTGCAGCCAGGGCCGGCTCCAAGCACCAGCGTTCCAAGTGGGGGCTTGGGGCGGCAGTGTTTCTGCGGCGGCGGCAATTCGGCAGCAGCCCCTCAGTCCCGCCGGCCGCGACAGGAGTTTGGCGGCAGTCCCTCTGTTCCACCGGCCGCAGAAACACTACCCGCGTCTTCTCCCTTTTGCTGTCCGCGGCGGCAGGTTTTTTTGACTGCTTGGGGCTGCAAAAACTGCAGAGCTGGCCCTGCCTGCAGCTTTGTGTGCTCACACTGTAGAGGGAGAAGTGAATTTCATCCTCGGAGGAGTAATTTGTTTTTATTCAATATAGCTATCTTACACTGCATTTTCCTATTGACATTAGTCTGTGATAAATCAAGTAGGAAAGAAAGGGATGTTTCCATCACAGTATCCTCTCAGTTATGTGTTATGAATTAACCTTAATGGGAGACTACAGGTGTGATTTGAGGGGTGAATAAACTCTGAAGTTGTTCACCTGATGGTATTTCAGGTTTGGGGTTTTTTTAATGGGTTGTAGCTCCAAACTTATATTCCCAATAGATACACAGTTGGTTATTGCAGCTTTAACTGACAGTAGTTTTCCTTGGATGAAGTGCTATTTAAGTGCAAAGTATTAAGCCATAAATAACATTTTTCACTTCATGCATAGTGTGAATCCACTAATAAAATAAATAAAATGTGTCTCCCACACGACTGCTAGAAATAGTCAAGGACACAGATTAAGTTTTTTTCCACTGTTGCATTAATAACACGAACCAGATGGGGATTTTTCCTGACATTCCAGGTACCTGAGGTAATGGTAGTATTTGGAAAGCCACTCAGTGGCACGCTATTTTTACTCTAAAAAGTTTTAATAACTAAACTTGGTGCATAGCTATCTGCCTTTGGAGAAATGATGATGCAATGATGGCACTGCTCTGCTGTTTTATGTGGCAGTGTTCCAGTGTGTCAGTGAAAAGACGATGAAGCTAACTAACTACGAGGCTTATCCCGAGGAGGGAAGCTGGCATATTGTCTGGTACCAGTAAGTTGCTGAAGTCATCAGTATTAGTGAATGGCTGGGCTGGTTATGAGGCTTCTGATTTGGAGGAGATAGTATAATTAAGGGATAATGTTTGTGGCAGAGGAATACAGAAGGCAATAAACAGCTCTTGCGGGTGATTAATCAGCAAAGCAGAGCTGTGGCATTCAATAATTGCAAAAGCTCTTTACTGCTCATAAAGTCCACCTTGTTCTAGTTATATAATGAAAAGGAAGATTCAACAAACCACAATGTAAATCATCAGAAAATTTGTTTTTCTTGTCTCTTTAGGCTTTAAAAGCTCAACGTTCCTGCTGCCTTCTTGGCTAGAACAAGGGCACGGCTTGAGGGAATACGTGTTTACAGGTGGATTATTTTAAAAAAAAAAAAGTCTCTCCTGAGTGAAAAGGGAGTGGCAGGTCAAAGACTCTGGCCATAGTTAGGATATGTGACTAGCCTTGGCCATGATTGGCTGAAAGCATAGAATCCAGATCTCCTTTGGTTCGATTCTTTCCTTTCTGGATCATGAAATGGTTTTCTACTTTGGAAATTTTTCTGATGTGTTTTTTGGTTATATTCATTATCCATGAGCTTTTAAGGCGGCTCACTCAAATCCCCTGACCACAGCGTCAGGTTACTAATTCCCTGAGTGTTTGTCCAGGAGTTTTATCCTGGCTCTCCTCTTGTTCTGGTGGGTCTCTAGCAGATACTGTTACTTCCTTACCATTCCTTAACCAAAGAACATTACCATTACAGTCTTCATTGTCAGCTTGTAACTTGCTGTTGACATGTAATTCCAATTATCTTCTCTGGACAGATCTCGTCCATCTCTATTGACAGTACTACTGCAGTTCTCAGAAGTAGGCTTTGGTTAGGCCCAGGTTCACAACCTCTGTTACTTAAGCCAGGTCTCCAACACAGACTGCTGCTGGTATAGCTGTGTTGGTCAGGCGTGTGAGAAGGTGTGATCCCTGACTGACAGAAGTGGCAGCGAAAGCCTCTTGTGTAGACACGGTTATACCAGCAAAATGATACTTTTCCTGGCAGTGTTTATTTCTCTCAGGGAGCTGAAATAAGCAATACCAGCGGAAATGCAGCTTTGCAAGTATAAAGTGCAGCCATGCTAGAAGTGCTTTGCTGGTATAGTATAAAAGAGGTTCTAGTGTAGATCTGGCCTTAAGCCTTGTCTGTACTAGAAAGGGTTTGAAGCTATAGCTATAGCGGTATAGATATACTGACAAAGGATCACTGTGGAAAGACGCTTATACCAGCAAAAGAGCTTATGTCAATTCCCTGAACTAAAAAACTATGCTAGCAAAAAGAAAAGGAGGACTTGTGGCACCTTAGAGACTAACCAATTTATTTGAGCATGAGCTTTCGTGAGCTACAGCTCACTTCATCGGATGCTGTAGCTCACGAAAGCTTATGCTCAAATAAATTGGTTAGTCTCTAAGGTGCCACAAGTCCTCCTTTTCTTTTTGCAAATACAGACTAACACAGCTGCTACTCTGAAGCCTGTCATTATGCTAGCAAAAGGTCTTTTTGCCAGCACAACTGCATCTACACTAGGGCTTTTGCTGGCAAAACCACGTTAATAAATGGTGAGGTTTTTTCAAACTGCTACTCAACATAGATATGCTGCCAAAACTTAAGCATAGACCAAGCCTCAGTAACACTTCCAATTTTGCTTTCTTGCCTCCGGTATTCCTTCCATTTGGGTCTACTACCCTTATTCTTTTCTGTTTCAGGACATCTCCATCTCCTGTCTTATTTTGTGTGGTGGATGCAGAAAGTACATGCCAGGTTTTGAACCATTCTCTTAATCATTCTCTTAAGGAATTTGCATTAATATATATAATTTAGGTATTGGAGCGCTGCTTAAAAAAATAAACAACAAACTAGTGCTTGGATAATTATGAGAGTTTAAAAATACTGAAACTTGTTTTGGATTTGATCGTGCAAGGTGCTGGGGTGTCATCAGCTTGATTGTGTATATACTTTCATAATTTAAATAAGGGATTGATCTAGATTTTAACTACATTAGTAGACTTGTTAGGGAACTAATATGATTTTTAATTGACCTCATTCTGTATATAATGTACCAATGATGTATCATGGAATGCTTTTTGCAGAGGAAAAGTATACACATTGAAGAGCACTTCAGTACAACTTTCCCCTTAGGAAAATAACTACCACCCACAAATTTATGTAAACTATAAATTGAATTATGTTCTCTATGTGTTTTATTTTGTTTTTTACAAGAGAGTTACTTCCCGAAGAGTGTGTTCTCCCTTCAGTTTATGGAGGAATTTATGTGTTCTCCCCTAGTATAAATGGGAGTTCTTTGTGTGTATGTGTGTGTATATATATACATAAAAATTAGAGCACACTGTGTGGTCAGAGTATACCCCCGAAGTCTTTTCCTCTTTTCAGTGTACGTGCTGAAATGTACTAGCTTTCTTATATATTGACACTGCCTAAATAATGATAGTATCTGCACTAAGTGATAATACAATAGTTATTAGTTTGATACTCAGTTTAAGTCTGTTTTCTATGCACTCGCACAACCCCTCCATAACTGAAACACTTCTTTTTTCCCCCAAGGGCTCAATCCTGCAAAGTGCTCAGTAGCTCATTAGGGATGCTAACTGCCTTCAACTGTTGCAAAAGCCAAGTTGTGCACCTCACAGGTGTGAGCCCAAAGAATCCTCTAACAACAGCAATAAAATGCTTCCAATTTTGAAATCAGTGCCTAGTTCATAATCCCCTTCTCACTATGGGGTGCATCAAAAATCTCCTGAGAATGAGTTCTGGAAATATAGATTTACTGACCTTGTGACCTAATTCTTGGAATCATTCCTTTCTCAGGGCACTATGTAGAGTGCCATCACAGCCTATCGGTGATTCAGGGGACCACATCGGTAGGAACCAGTAGCAGATAGTTTAATACTAGCCCAAAAACCTTTCATAGGAATACCCCTGAAATCTGGAAACAAGGCTGTGGCTCTAAACTTTGCAGCTCAGGCCCATCTCTAAGAATAACAAGAGTGAGAGCACAAAGCTGTATAGTCTGACTATTCTCATTTAAACCAATTTTTCAGTGATGGCAAAGTATAAACCATTTAAATTGCAATAAGTGTACAACGGACACCTCTTTTTTTTTTTTTTTTTTTTTAAGAGACCAGGCTGAAGGTAGACTCTTGTGGTCTTCTGTCTCTATCTACTGTTATCCTAACTATTGCATCACCCCACGTGTGGTTTAGAAGTTGGGATACCCACTAACAGGCAAATTGATACCTGTGTGTTTGTTGCTTCCTCTAAATTCACAAAGATTTTGTTACCTTGCGCTCACTTTAAATAACTTTAACTTTATCGCTCAGGTTCAGAAAACACACAAACTCATCAATGCTGGGATTGCTGATGTTGCCATCCGCCAGGACAAGAAGATCCTGGCAACAGCAGGGTGGGATCATCGTATCAGGATCTTTGGCTGGAAGAAACTGAAGCCCTTGGCAATACTGGACTACCATACAGCTACTGTCCACTGTGTATCCTTCTCAGATCACAGTAGGCCAAGTGAAAGACTGCTGGCAGCTGGCTCCAGAGACCACCGCATTAGTATCTGGTCAATCTATAATCAAACCTCAGGTGCTCTGCACTGTCCTTTGGAAACTAGAAAGCCGGCCTGATAAATCAGAAATTGTTGTGTGATTAAAATCTGGGGATGGGGAAGTATTAAACCATCTGCAGTTTGAGTGCAAGTCCCCAGAAGGACCTGTTCACGACAGAAAATGTTTTGTTGTAGAAGGGAAAGCCAGTGCTAGGAAGGGAAGAACGGATAATCATGCATTTAAGGCAAAGGCCTAGCACAGTGGGAGTCTGTTGCGTCCTCTCTCACATGCTTCTTTTGGCAAATTGTTTTGATTCTTTGTGCCAGTTTCCTCATCTGTAAAATGGAGATAGGTGCTGTCACTCAGGCGTGGTGTGGTCTAGAGTACACTGGTTTCCAAATCATATTGAGATCCTTAATGTACGTAAGTGCAAAGAATCAGTTTTATGTGAACTTGAACCCATTAAACCATCCATAGAACTTTCTCATGTCAGTTACTTTTTCTTCCCCATAACTGAAAAGCTATCAGACCAACCTTGATTTGTTCACACTTCTGTCAGTTTCTAGCTTAAGCCAACAGCCAAGAATGTGACTAGGGATGGCCTTTGGCATTTATGAATTTCATTATGTCCCCTGTCACCTCAAGCCTTGCAATTAATCATAGAAAGAAAAAGGAATCTTTCCATGCACTGCATTTTAAAGCTATGTAAAGCCTTTTTCAGAGCCAGTGCTAAATCCTTTCCATAGACTGACTAGCAGAAGGATTTAAACTGAGCAATCCAATTAGCGCCCTTCTCCTTGGAGATTTGGGGGGTAAATTTCCAGTATGGTGAGGCAGGGATTTGGCTACACATCTCCCATTAACATTAATGGGAATAGCATGGATAAAACCTTCTGTACTATCCTGAAAATATACCCTTTAGTTTGTCATCTCCATGGTCGTGGAAGCTGAAATCCATTCCAAAAGTTGATTGTTTTTGCTTGAGGCAAGGCACAGTGCTAGCATTCTCCTTTTCAAATATATTTGAGCAGTAACAGTCTGTTCGCAGGCCAGGAGATCTCACCACTTAATTAAGGTTTGCCAGTAAGGTGCACTTATATCTACACCGTAAAAGCAATTAACAGTGTGACTTTAAATACAGAGTAATTTAGAAATGCTAGGGGGTTCTTGGCATCAGAAATATTTAGCATCAGAAAAAAAGTCTGTTCTGCAAAGGGGGATTTTGGGGATACCAGTGCTGTTCTGTGGATGTTTTTTTGAAAATGTTTGTCCCTACCAATTTATGGGGCTGGACATCAAAGGGGAACTGGTCAGAAATGAATTGGACAGCAGCATCAAAAGACGTCAGAACTACATTTCAAAAACCAAACTCGTGTAATGCTGATGCCAAAGCTAAACATCAAACCAGGGCCTGCTGTACACCTGTACCATACATGCAGGGATGATCTTGTTGAAAAAGTGCTTTCTAACTCTGTACAGGAAATGTTCCTCAAGTGCCAAGCCCCAGTGTTCTTTCATTACAGAACATAAAACATACTGCAACAAGGCTTTTACTAATAAAACTCTGCAATGTTTAAAGCGGTGTCACACACTGAAATGTGTTCCTGTGCTTCTTTGGTTATTTTTCCCTCAATACTTAGCTCTGTGGAGGTTTAGTCTGCACGTGCGAGTCAGATAAGGCCTGATCCTGAGCATCTTTGAGCCAGTCATTGGGAGTTGCAGATACTCATTACATCTAGACCAGGGGTGGCCAACCTGCGCCTGAGAAGGAGCCACAGTTTACCTATGTGTATTGCCAAAGAGCCACAGTAATACGTCAGCAGCCCCCCATCAATTCCCCCCACCTGCCAGCAGCCCTGATGATCAGCGCCTCCCCCTCCTCCCCCATGCCTCCTGTGGCATGCAGGGAGGCTGTGGGGGAGGGGGAGGAGCGAGGGCATGGCAGGCTCAGGGAAGGGGGCAGGAAGGAGCGGGGGCCTTGGGGGAAGTAGGGGCAGAGGCAGGGGTTGAACAGTAACCCCCAACCTGCTGCCACATTGGAAAGTTGGTGCCTGTGCAAGGAACCACATATTAACTTCTGAAGAGCCTCATGTGGCTCTGGAGCCACAGGTTGGCCACCCCTGATCAAGATGGTATATGTGTATGTGAAATGATCATGCCAGGATTGCTACATATCTTCCACTTCCCATGCAGAAGAGAGGGCCATGGGCTCAGCAATCTCCATCGCACCATCTTCCTCAGATCCACAAGAAGCCTGATACAAGGAACTGCACACAGTTTTCCTCCCCACAAAAGAGATGGAAAGAAAGCCACTGTTTCTAATTCTGTTGTATTAAATTGCAGTGGTACCCCCTCTGATCTCAGAGACTCACCTAATTTGACAACAGGACACCTCCTGCTGAATTCACATGTATTAAGGCCCTGCACCTATTGAGATGAATGGCAAAACTCCTACTGACTGCAGTTACACGATTAAACCCTAAGAGATCACCCTTCTCCAGGAAAGTCCTTGGTTTTGATTGGAGTTTTACCAGATTAAAGATTCAGGGCCAGCCTCATAGTCGCTGCTTGATTTAGTTGTTTACAAACCAGATAAAGAGGGGTTGGGAGTGTTAAGGTGAACACTGAGGCTCTCCCTCCACTGTCACTTTCAGCCCTAAAACACCCCCCCGAGCAACAAAAGTTTTAGCGCTGGAAAGCGCCGGTATAGACAGCGCTTTATGGGTGGGAGCCCGGGAGAGCTACCACCCCTCATTCAGGGTGGTTATTTTTTATCACCAGGAGAGCTCTCCCCTCGCGATAAGGCGTGACTATACTGCCCAGGTCACAGTGCTGCCCTGGCCATGCTGTAATGTGGGCAGTGTAGACATACCCCAACTTTTAGGCCCAATTTACTTCTCTCCTCTTTATAATTAATGTTTCCTATATAGCTGCTGTCACTTGGTTTTCGAGTTGATGAGCTCAGTGCATGTCAGTATGTACTGCTTCGAATAGAAAGTGAGTCTTTGTTCAGCTGTGCTAAGATACTCCATCTGCAGTGGACTCTTTAAAAAAAAAATACTTCCAGCTTTTTAAAGAATTCTAGTTGCACTGATGTCACTGAAACATGCTTGAGTATCTCACAAGCTGATCCAGTACCTCCAATGGAAATCGTAGGATGACATGACACCTTAAGCTTATTGAAGATTCATTATTCATTAACAGCTCTTTCAAGCCTTCTCCAAGCAAGGATTAATATGCAAATCACTTGCTAATTGAGAGGTTTCAGAGTAGCAGCCGTGTTAGTCTGTATTCGCAAAAGGAAAAAGAGGACTTGTGGCACCTTAGAGCCTAACCAATTTATTTGAGCATCAGCTTTCGTGAGCTACAGCTCACTTCATCGGATGCATTCAGTGGAAAATACAGTGAGGAGATTTATATACACACACAACATGAAAAAATGGGTGTTACCATACACACTGTAAGGAGAGTGACCATTTTCCCTTCCCCCCTCCCTCCCCCCACTCTCCTGCTGGTAATAGCTCATCTTAAGTGATCACTCTCCTTACAGTCTGTATGGTAACACCCATTTTTTCATGTTCTGTGTGTATATAAATCTCACTGTATTTTCCACTGAATGCATCCGATGAAGTGAGCTGTAGTTCCCGAAAGCTGATGCTCAAATAAATTGATTAGTCTCTAAGGTGCCACAAGTCCTCCTTTTCTTTTTGCTAATAGGCAGTATTGTTTGATCTGGGCTTGTAGTTGAATCTCTGTTCACTGACAAATGGTAGTACCGGCTGTCTATTTTTCTCTGGCCTTGAAGGCAGCCTTTGTAGTCAGAGTTCACTGTCTATCATAGTTGCGGAGATGCTCAAGGGATTCTTAAAGTAGCCTGATATTTACTATTTACTAGTTCTTTGCAAATATTCTTATGTTCCTTCATGCTCAAATTATTACCCTTTGCTTTAGAAGATGTTTATATTTGTTTGACTAGTAGTTTTAAAAAAAAATCCTGCACAAGAACAAATTAAAAATAAGGAGATAAACACACATCTTTAATCCCACAAACAGATACACACATCAGGGCCTGGAGTGTCATTGACTTTAAGAGGAGGGAGGACATGTATGTGCAGGACTTGCATTTTGCCTCTTCAAGCTGCACATAGTAATAAGTACTTCATAGGTGAAAGGGTTAATCAGCACTTTACATTAGCAATGATATTTTACTTTCATCCTAATAAATTGTGGGGGGCGTTAAATGCATTTTTTAGTTTCCATCTAAGTCACTGGTTCTAGAGAGTTGCTTGATACATTATCTGACTTAGATACACACACTGACTGCACAATTTCAATCTGGATCACAACTTTCCTGAAATGTATGAAGTTATTTACTTCAGGATCAAGACATGAATTTCAGTCTCAGACCTGAACTTCCCCAAAGTAAAGAAGTGTTCAAATCAAAGGGTTGGTTTGGGCCCATCTCTGTTAATACAGGACTATAAAATGTAGCTACCTGATCACATCTAAGCAACCAGTGTAAAATATTCCCAGAAGAATTAAAATAGCTTATTAAAATGTAATATGATCATGTTTATCTCACTGAAGATTTCAGCTGACTCATTTGCTATCAGGAAGGTTTTGAGTAAAGAACCACCACAAACTGATGGAGTTAGCCCCTGAATCTCACCTGTCAGAGAGGAAGAGGACTAGCCTGTACTTGGCCTAAAGGAGTCAAGAGCGAAGGTGATGACAGCTAAATTGTTGCAAAAAGGCTTCCTCCCCAGAAGTGGTGTATCTGTCACTCTGGGGGAGGGGGTGGGAAGCAACCAACATTTATAAGCTAATTGAAATAAATCCCAAACACTAGCATTTGTACAGCAATTACATGGAATATTTATCACCAGTGGAATGAATGCTGACCTCTGACCCTCAGATGTTTCCTGTAAATGAATCTGTTAGTTCCAAGCTCTTCCTCTGCTCTGAATGTGGTGAGCAGGGTGTTGAAGTGGAGATGAGCTAGGGAAGAGGAAGATAGCTGGCCATAGTTATAGCAAAGAGCTAGAAAGAAGTCAGTGAGAGGGCCTGTGAAAAGAGCAAATTGTAAAACCTTCCCTCCTGCACTCTGAAATTGAAATTAGTGATTAGTAATAGTGGCATAAATTACACACCGTGGAGCCCTATTGGGACTATTGCAACTTCTTTTAAAAGACGCATAGCTTTAAAGTCAATACTGTGTGATGGTTTCTAGTATGTTTTAAATGCATCTTACAAAACTTAATTTTGTCCAATGCTAGCAGACAAAACTACAACTTCATCAACTTTTTCTTCTCTTCAGTGTCCCCAGTAGAGATAAAGAGGTGAAGTGACTCACTAGCGCAGCAGCCAGGCTAATTATCTCAGCAAAATGCAAGAATTACTGAGCCAAAGATCAATGTATTTCCTTATCGAGCACTGTCACTGTGGTGGAAAAATGTGGATCACTGTGTCCTGCCTGGATTAATAGGACAAGATATGTTAACACGACAATATGTGTTTCAGACGAGGTGATATATACAAAGCCTTTAAGCAGTGTGCTACCGCGTGAATTATGGAGATGAGCTGTTACGAAATGCAGGGAATTTCTGTTATTCACACACAATTTGGAAATTCTCGTCTATGGCCCAGTGCTGGAGGCATTTTTCCAGCTGAGCATGTATCTTTCCTTTGCCACATGGCAGCATCAATTTGGCCTTTGAGAGCAATTAAATAGTTGTGTACAGCCACAGAGGAGGACACACTCCCCAAACAGCTCACTCCTTCCATTAGTCACACCTGTTAGGCCAATTGCATTGCTGGTGTACCTTCACTGAAACCACTGCAATGGCATCAGGGACGTAGTTGGCCTATAACTCCAGCACTTTTTTGAAGCATTATAGGTACTGAAAGCATTACAGAAACTGCAGCACAGACATTAAGTGTGACTAAGGCCCCTGAAGGAGCGGTTAAGTGCCTAAGTCAACATTTAGGCACCACTGGCATGCACAAAACCACTGCTCAGCTGCACCAAATCTCTGGGCACCCGTTTCTGCCAGAGGGCATATGCACAGCTGCCTAAGTCCTGACACTGCTGAGCAACTTGGCACCAAGCTCATACCTAAGGCTCAGTGGGATTCACAGACCAGGTGCCTCTTTACCTGTCTGACCTGCGGAGCCCGATTTAAGAGCACACCGCACCCACCCAAAAGATGGTGGGGGAGGGATTAAATATTCATTGGAGCAAGGCTATGACTCCCCCAGAGTGCCCTCACCACAAGGCTATAAAGTCATTCTTGATATCACCTTCTGGGCTGATGATGCCTGTTCATGCATTTCATGCAAAGTGGACAAGGTTCAACAGGAGAGATTGTGAGCAACCCATCCCAGAATAGCCCTGGCAGCCTGTGTTTGAGAGTTGTCAACTGCAGCACCGCTATGGTGCTTGTTTTCATTTGGTCCCTAAAAATGTTTACATAATGTTATCGGATACGAGGATTATTTGGGTTGAAGCAGCTGTTTCCTCCTTTTGTTGGTGTGTGTGCTTCTTAGATTCAGTTGCATTTACTCAGCCTACTGAAAGGAAAATCTTAGACT